TTCACAACTACGAGCAGGCGTGTTACGCGAGAGACGCTCTTGCCAAAGAGCTGTACTCGCGGATGTTCAACCACGTGGTGTTGTGCGTGAATCAGGCATTGGCCAACCGGAACGAGGACCAAGTGCGGATCGGGATCCTGGATATTTACGGATTCGAGGTCTTTGACTCGAACGGCTTCGAGCAGTTTTGCATCAACTATGTGAACGAGAAGCTGCAGCAGATTTTCATCGATTTGACTCTGAAGGCTGAACAGGTAAAATTGTGTTTTTATTTTTTTTTCGACTTCATATTCCCTGGCTTTGATTGGTTGAAACCCAGAAAAAAATAGATTGAAAACTGTCCGAGAAAGGTCCTATGTCAGGATTCTTGAAATGCGAAGAATAAATTTCCATTTCTTATTGTCTTCGGAAATTGCAGACTGTTTTATTTTACGGGTAATTTTAACTGGCGGTCGAACTTTTGTTTCGATTTTAAATAACTGAGTCATCACAATTGAATTTTGACAGCTTTTGGGTGCTTTCCTTGTGAACATGTCGTATGAGTTATGAGTGGAAATTGGATAGATGTACTGAACGTCGGACTATTTTTATTTTCTCAACTAAGTTGATACAAATTTTAGTGCAATTTTCAAAGTGAAATTGAGCATTGTTGAGAGGAAACCAGATGATGGGTATATTGAGAACTTTATGTGGAACCCAAACGAAAATTTTTGCACAGAGGAAGTCATCATTGTAGACAAAATCGTTGTAGACAGAGAGGTTACCTGTATATACGCTGTCCTCTTCGATTTTTGAATTGTTCTGTTATGGGTAGGTGTCGCTTACAGTCACAAATGCATTTTAATTTCACATTCCGTCATCCAAAGTTTCAACTGTTCATGGTTTCTTCCTCCAGGCGACATTTTTTTGCTGCATGATAAGTTGGCTTTCGTTTTGAATCTTCGTAAAATAATGAGGACTTGCATTCTCTTTCAATTAAAAAAATCTTATACATTATTTATCTTCACGAATTTTGATTTACAATTTTCAAGGTTCGATGCTCTCCAAAAGAGCTGACTACCGAATGCAAATAGGGTATCATCAACGATTTTCTGTCTTGATTTTTTTTCGGTCCTATGGGGATCTTCATTCAATTATATCCATTTTGCAGAAGTCTTCTACCACGAAATTCTCTCTAAAAAAATGTTTTTTCCGGCCCCCTGAATTTCGTTGTATTAGATAGAGTCCACCTATAATTTTGTACAGACTGCTGTGTATGCATATATTTCCTCTCTGGCAAATCGATTTTTATATTGAAAAAAAAAATTCTTCGCAGGAGGAATATCATGTGGAGGGAATCAACTGGACACCAATCGAATACTTCAACAACAAAATTGTCTGTGAATTGATTGAAGGCAGGAATCCACCGGGCTTGATGTGCATCTTGGACGACATTTGCGTTTCTATGCACGCAGTCAGTGAAGGTTCAGATGAGAATTTCTTGAAGGTACGTAATTTTGAAAATTTCAATTTATATTATAAAAGTTCACTCGTAATTCCTTCCTAAGTTTTTTTTCTTCAACCGTTGACATGGATAGTTTTACGGAGTTTTATTTGATTATTTTCGGACCAGTGTTCCTGTTTTTATTCGCTCGGGTTGAAATTAAGGAAACGCCGGGAGTTGAAAGAGCTTTTTTTTCTTCTTTACTGTGATGAGAAATTTATATTTTCATGTGTAATAAGTTTTGGAAAGTACTTTTGATTGCCCAATGATCTCCAAATTAATGGAGAAGCTTTTTAATGATATTTTTCCCGAACAGCCGTGTTCCATTTAATTTAATTTTTTGGCTCGAGTTAGGCATGAAGGTTGCTATAAAATGTAAATTTTCATTTCTGCAGTGAATTCACGAATAATTTGCCCGAATAACAACCACAATAAACCTTCGGTAAATGAACAAAGCTTGGTTCAAATCTTGATGTTGATCTATCATTCAGTTCCAAGGATTCTGACTTATTAATGCCCGGAGAAATCTAATTGTGAGCGAACGGAAAAACTTGTAAAACGGCTTTCATTAGCTCCTTCTATTATTTCCAATAAGTATTTTTCTGCATGTGACGATGAAACTTTTAAATAATGCGGGTGCACGAAAAGCATTGCAAATTCATGAAATCATTCATGGTTTTGTTCGAGCTCGGTTTGAACTCGGATTCCTTCTTGTCATTGTGGGAAGTGTTTTCTGTTCTTGATCAGAAGAAGAAGGGTCATAGTTGACGATAACGTCGAGGTTATCTAAAATCGCGTTTTTCTTTCTTGATCTCTAGAAATCAAGAGGAGCTGTCGGAGATCATCCCCACTTCATGGTATCAACGAAATCGTTTGTTATCAAGCACTACGCCGGCACTGTTGAATACGACGCCGACAGCTTTTGTGTGAAAAACCGGGATGTTTTGTACTCTGACATCGTCCAAATGATGCAATCTTCTACTAGGTAATGCTTCAGAAATTTCGAGATAACTACCGCAATCGAGAGGAAAGATAACGTTGAATAAATTTGATTTATCTTCATCCTTTTTTTTCAAGCGGGTTTTTGCGGAGTCTGTTTCCGGAAGACACGTCGGGGAAAATTAAATCGAGACCGACGACTGCGGGGTCGAAGATCAAGGAGCAAGCGAATTCCCTCGTTCTGGCCTTGATGAAGTGTACACCGCATTACATTCGTTGTATAAAACCGAATGAAACTAAAAAGGCCAGGGACTGGGATGACAAACGAGCTTTGCATCAGGTCCAGTACTTGGGGTTGAAGGAAAATGTGCGGGTTCGTCGTGCGGGTTTTGCTTACCGCCGGCCCTTTGATAAATTTCTGAGGAGGTGAGAATGATCCATCAACAAATCTTTCGCTTCCCACGCTATTTAGACCCTTTAGTACTATATTAATGTGAGACGCACCTTAATTTTGTGCCGCGGAAATTTGATCCATGTTGAATGCAAATAGCACTTTTTATTCGTAATTATCAAATTTTGCGATAATCAAAAAAAAAATTTGTTCCTGTAATGTTCATGTTTTCAACACTGATGCTTCGATCTCTGATAGAAATCGGGTTTCTGATCACTTGTATCCCTGAGCTGGAAATTTTAGTGAATGCTTGAGTTTTATTTTTGAAACTGCAAAGTATTTTTGCATTTTATAAATTATCCCCTTTTTCCTTCAAGCCTTTTTGCACAAATTCGTGGTTAAGGAAACATACCGTATTTAAGTGAATATAAGCGCTCCTTTTTTACAGTTACGGAAGTTAAAAAATTGATGGGTGCTTGTATTCGCAAATTTATGCAATTCTCCGGAATAAGCGTCTACATGAAAAAATCATCCTGTTTTTGCCTACAAAACCGTTCAGCATTTTTTCTGCAGTCCTGTTGGAATTGAACTCCCTCCATTTGTGGCCAAAATAGGTAGAATAATTGTCAAAACGAAAACATGCGTATGCAGCATAATACGGCAGTGGGTTTCCGTCATCAGGAGCGTTCTCATAATTTTTTTGAACTTCCGTAACTCATCTATTGAACAGGTTTTAAAATATACTTCACTGCGTTGGTCATCGGCAATCCGTTCCGGAAACGCTTTTATTAAATACGAGCGAAACGTTTCAAGTTCAACGCGAATCTTTGACTTCGTGGGTACTCTGTGAAGAATGTGCTGATGGGTTTCTTTCAACAGGTACTCCATTCTTTGTCCTCGAACTTGGCCGAAATGGTTCGGAGAACCGAAGGAGGGAGTGAAACTCATTCTTACGAGCGTGGGTCTGGATTCGAGTCAATGCCAACTAGGGAAGACCAAGATTTTTATAAAAGCTCCGGAATCTGTAAGTACTGGACTCGTTGTCTTTGTGGGCGTTTTATCTTCGTTTCGTGATTGATTACGATGTTGTTCCTATATATGCGAAATATCCATTGAAATTGATGTTTCCGCGAGGGGTTCCTGAAAAGTCCTTGTATTTTCACCCGCGAATCGCGATCTTGACCGAATATAAATTATCATATTTTAGTAATTTGCTTTTGATGACGAAGACGTTCTCCCACAGTAAACATGTGGAGAATAATGGAGACTTGTATTCCAATCAATATACAGTACTGATTGGAAAACTTCTTGAAAAATATATTTGAGCTTCGAATTTTTACGAGAAATTTTCAAAGCGATATTAAACTATTGTTTCTAATTTTCTGCGAAAGTCACGGAAAAGTAGTAGAATCAGTGTTTTAGCCTCATTTCACCTCTGCCAAATTTTTTGCGTTTTATTTTTTAAATTTGCGTTTCATACTCTTGCTTCGAAAAACGTACTCGTGCGTCGAATTTTCACTAGAGGATCTATAACGCGATATTAAAGTATTATTTTACTATTTCGCGACAGTCTCAAATGTTCTGGCCTCATTTCACTTCTGCCAATAGGTTGTTGCGATTTTTCAAAATTTGCTATTTATTCTCATTTTCTACCAGGAAAAATTAATTAGGATGAAAATTTCCATCCGAAAGATGCTTTAGCAGCAGATGAAGAATCGAAGTTTTCTCATTAAATTTGAATTGTCTGGTTCAATGATTGACAAACTCTCCGAAAAGTCTTTCAAAATGAAAATGTAATCCCTCTGCTCCAGGAAACCCTTTCTGTGAATTCGACTGATTTTGTTTCACAGCAATAATTGGTCAGTCAGATTTTATTCTCTTACAGTATGGATTTCTGGAGACTATAATGTAGAGCTCATAATAATAATATGATAATAATATAATAGTAATATAATAATAATAATAATTATAATAATATGTATAGCTGTAATGTAGCTCATAATTTAGAGGATGCAATTTTTACAATATCATAAATGGAATCCATTCAAAATTAACTTTGCGGTCTTGAAAAAAATTGCTACTATGCATCATTAAAGTGTTGTACCGTAATAACCTGGCTAATTTTTCTTCTTGGGGAACGTTACAGCTGTTCGACCTCGAAGAATCGCGGCAGAGGAAGTTCGACGTGTACGCCCGAGTGATACAGAATGCGTTCCGCAACCACTTTGCCAAGCAGCGCCGCCTCGTCATGTGCACGGAGGGCGCCGCTGTGTTGGGCGGCCGGAAGGAGCGCCGCCGGAACTCGGTGAACCGGAGCTACGTTGGGGATTACATCGGCGTCGACTCCAAGGCCGAGATGCGTCAGTTTATCCCGAGGCGGTGTCGGGTGGAGTTTGCGCAACGGGTGTCGAAATTCGACCGGCGGTTCAACGTGAGTTCTTGTTATGCTATTTGAGATTTTATTCATTTGTTTCGCCGGTGAATATTTCGCGGCTTACCTCGTATTGAACGTTTTTACCCCAATTTTCCATCTATCTGCCACAATCAAATATTAAAAAAAAAAAGATGGAATCCCAAAAAACTGATTTTTGTTCAATTTTCTGAATTTTTTTTTAGCATGACCCCCATGTAGACGCAATACATAAAATCTGAAATCCACGCTCTTGAAAGGGAAATTTAGTTGAAGATCTATTTTTCAGGAACTTTGGTATTTCAGCCGACTTTGTTTATTGAAATTGCACTGCACACTTTCTGAAGTGAAATCGACCTGAAAACTCTTTTTTTTGTTTGAGATTTGATGGTCTTGGTTGAAAGTTTGTGATTTTGTGAATTTAGAGCAAAGCAGAAGCAAGGAATTATTGTTTGCGTGAAATTGTAAGTTTGGATGTAATTCTGCCACAGCTTACAAAATTTGTGTATCGTCCTTGAAAAGTCTGCAAGAGCAGCTTCTGGAACTAGCAATATCTATGATTCCTGTGTTTATTTATTGGTTTCGAGTATTTAATTTGGATGTACGTCTATTGCAAACATTTTAGAAGTTTCAATTTCATTTTAGAATTTTATGACGAAACGGAGCACGCGCCCGCCATCAAAGTTATCTTTTGTAAAGAAGCGACATCTAGCAACAGATTTCCGGAAGTCCACCAGGAATCTCTTGCTAGATGTCGCTGCTGTTCAAAAGGTAACTTCGATGACTCATAAAATTTGTACGGATCGACACTTGCCCTCGCTGAAACATGGTGTTGCTGAATCGTACAAAAGCGTTGAAATATACAGTACAGTATTGTACTGTGTCGTATTTTCAAGAACAGTGACATGCTCCTTCTTATGGATATCTGTGCCAAAAAATTTGGGGTGTACACCACATTATTCGCTTAGATAATTGGGTGTATATGAGTCCGAGAATTCGGACGTGACTTGGTTGGGTGCACGTTTTCTGATCAAATTTTGAAATTTGGCGTGTGTTATGCTCTAATCACACGGATAAATTGTGAAAGCTGTCGAAAAGTTACAAGAATAAACCTTTTGCAGTTCGAGAGGAGACTCTGGATTACTTTATGTTTGTCTTTGTTTCATATATCGAAATTGAATTTATTGAAAATTAAAATATGTATCTATCGCGGATTTCAGTCGTGACTCGATTAATCACCAATTTATACGGGTTAAATTTTTACCCACATTTTTCTCTGCAAGATCAAGGCGCATACGTTCTTCGAGGGCTGGTATTATTGTACTTGAGTAAATGTACAGTTGTTGAGAATCCGTATCATTGCGGTATTTCATGCATTTTTACTGACATTTTCTATATTTCGATGAGCATCATTTTTCATTGTAGGCATTTTCTGACGAAGCACGATTTATTTTCTGTGTGATTGAGCTACTCCATGTTTTCCCGAAGACAATGTTGAGATATGGAATTTCAAGTGTGAAGGGAACAGCTTTTGGTTGATGAAATGTGCAACCAAATTGTTTCTAGAAAGTTTCTGAGCAGGAGAAAACAAAATTTGTAAAATGAGAATTACAGGAGGCTAAAAGATAATTTCGAGGTGTTTTTTTTTAAATTTTGTCAGAGTATCAGTTGCTGCTCAAATTTCCGCCTAAATTTGCGTTATCGTCATTGAAACAATCTTGTTCTATTTCCTGTCTACAAACTTTTGTGCAGAAAAATAAAACGTGTCAGAACATAAATAACTCAATTTCTTTTGCCCCACGGAACCTTTTCTGGATAACTTAGTTTATGCGGAAGGACGGTCATCTGTTCTCTTTCAAAAAATCGTTCCTCTTTTTTGTTGTTGTTGTAGCTAATGTATTACGCAAATGCTTCCAACGTGGGACGTTTGTGTCAGAATACTCAGAAATGAGTTCAGTCACACGTTACCCATTTAAAAAAAAAGCGTGAAAGGGAAATTTCTTCTGCTCTTCTGCCGTT